CAAGACTGAAGTCACAGTCTTTTTTTTTTTAATTATACTTTAGATGAAGTTTTACAGAATAAACTAGCTTCTCATTAAACAATTAGTACACATATTGTTTTGTGACTTTGGTTACCAACCCCATGACATGTCAACTCTCTCCTTCTTGACTTTGGGTTCCCTATTATCAAACTTTCCTGTCCCCTCCTGCCTTCTCGTCCTTGCCCCTGAGTTGGTATGCCCCTTTAGTCTCGTCTTGTTTTATGGGCCTGTCTAATCTTTGGCTGAAGGTTGAACCTCAGGAGTGACTTCATTACTGAGTTAAAAGAGTGTCTGGAGGCCATACTCTCAGGTTTCTCCAGTCTCTGGTAAGATTGGTAAGTCCTGTCTTTTTTTGTGTGTGTGTGTGAAGTCACAGTCTTTTGTAACCCAACCTTTAAGTGACATCCCATCACTTTTTTTTTTTTTTTTGTAGTAAATATATATGTAACAAAACATCTGCCATTTCAACAATCTTCACAGGTACAGTTCAGTGACATTATGTTCATCGTGTTGTTCACCCATCACCCTTATCTATTCCCCACATCTCATCACTTTCGCTGCCTTCTTTTTGTTGGAAGCAAGTTGCTAGGTCCAGCTCACACTCAAGTGGAAGAGATTACACAAGGATGTGAGTACCAGGGGGCAGGGATCCTTGGGAGACATTTTAGAAGCCTTCTACCACAGGATGACTGGATATTTAGTGAATGAATGAGTCACTGAATAAGTGAGGTTACATACCTGATGTCAATCCCTATGAAGGAACAGACTATATAACCTTCCTGACAGAGCTGATCTATCTGATTGAATACTTCCAGATCAAAGCACATTTCTATGCAGGCCCATGCTTTCTTGGAAGGCTCTGTTAGAGAGCTAGATATTCTTGCAGTTTTGTTGAGTCCGTGGAGCATGGAGAGGGCACTTCCTTGAAATGTTTATTGGTGTCTGGTTGGGTTCTGCCAGTCTGGTTGTAGAAGGTAAGCATTACCAGTGAGCTGTCACTGACTCACTCCAGAAGATTCAGGCTTATAAAAATCTTGGGCATGTAGAAAAATCTTCCCTTGATTAACAACAACAACAAAAAAGATGGTTATCTGTCCCAGAAAAAAAACCCTTTTGGAAGCAATAAATTAGTCCAACAGAGACACTATAAAGACTTCAGACTAATAAATAAGTGAACGCTAATATCAGATAACTTTGCAGTTCTCTAGCTCAGTGAGTACGATGTGGATGCTGAATGCAGAAGCCGTGCTGCGGGGCTACACTAAATACCACCCCTGAACCAGCCTGAAGGTAGGAGCCACTGGAAGCAATAAACATTCGTATAAAAAGCCTGCAGCACAACTCTGTCCCCCCAGGATCTGTGATTCTACAGGTTTACCAAACCATGTCCTCCTACAATCAGGACTGCCCCACAAGTAGCAAGTCAGGTGATCACCACTGGTGTCATTTGAAGGTTGAAGGACCGCTGTTCTGCTTAAGAGTCTCCCTCCCCATTCCCTCATTGGTTTGTAACAGTCTCTGAAATTCCTGTCATCACTCACTGGAGTTAAGGCAGAATCTAAGTAGATGTTCCACTTGAAATGTATCTCATCTGGCAGAGGACTCACAACAACTCATAAATGAAAATCAATGCATGCGATAACAAGTGGAAATCTGGTAAGCAAAGCTTCTGAGAGTACAGTTTGTGGTAAAGGAGTTGGGAGATGCCTGGAACATTCTGGGAAGTTTGGGAAGGTTCCTTGGGGCTGCCTACAAATGCAGGAGAAGAGCCTCCACTGGTCAGCATCTCCACTGTACCCCTACGGCACACCCACTGTGTCAAGAACATTATCTCCAATCTGATTGACAATCCAGCTACAGATTGTTGTTACCATTTTACAGGTGAGGAAGCCAAGGCTCAGAGAGATTAAGTGACAGGAGGAGGCAGGCCAGGAGTTGAGCACAGCTTTGTCTAGCTTTATGGCCACAACTATTTGTCATCAGCTGCTATCAAATCAGCCTTCGACTCATGGCAACCCCATGCACCACTGAACGAAATGCTGCCCAGTCCTGTACCATCCCCAGGATCAGATGCAGATTAGAGTGTTGTGACCCATATGGTTTTCACTGACAGATTTTTGGAAGTAGATCACCAGGCCTTTCTTCCTAGTCCTTATTCTGGAAACTCCTCTGAAACCTGTTCAGCATCATAGCAATGGGGAAGCCTCCACTGACAGACGGGTGGTGGCTGGGCATGAGTTGCATTGCTCAGGAATTGAATCTGGGTCTCCCATGTAGAAGACAAGAATTATATCACTTAATCACCAATGTCCCCCATTTAGGGTCCTTGAAATGGATACTAGCCCCAGTGTCCCTCCATACTATTGTTGTCAGGATTTTTAATTTCACCACTTACAACCTAGGATTCCAAACAAACATTTCAAATAAACATTTCCCAAATAGAATCCTTCCACCACCACCATTTCCTTTCCTGTTTTCCCTTACAATCTTCTTTAGGGTCCATATCTCTGTGTGTCGGGGTTCACATTTTTACACATCTCAGAAATTCATGGACCTGTGAGACTCAGTCCTGGACCACAATGCTCACCTTCCTACTTTCCAGTGTCCCGTATTTCTTCTCACCTGATCAGGTGAGTCCTAAGATGCACAGTGTTGGGTGCCTGACACCCCCACTGCCCAGGTATACCCGGCCTGGGAAACTCACATTTCAAAATTCATAGTAAGTATAAAACCAAAACCAAACCAAACCCGTTGCCCACAAGTCGATTCCAACACATAGTGACCCTATAGGACAGGGTAAAACTACCCCAGAGAGTTTCCAAGGAGCGCCTGGTGAATTCAAGCCACCGACCTTTCGATTAGCAGCCTTAGTTCTTAACCACTACGCCACCAGGGTTTTCATAATGATTATAGGCTGTGGGATTTTATTAAAAGGGAACCACGTTCTCTCATCTTATCTATAGGCTATTTTGCAAATAATATTCGTATTACCAAGTTAGTGGATGCCACCAAAGAGAGCCAGCTTTTCTAAAAATTCTGCCGGGCGGCCTTTTTCCATAGAGCTGGATGTCTGGTTATTGTCCTCGGTAAATCTTGTTCCAACAAGTTCTGCATCCACTTAACTTTATGAGTTTAAGTTTTGTGGTTTTGGATTTCATCCCCATTCCTACAATCCCCCTCCTCAATTTAAACCATCTAATCCAGGATTTCAGACAAAGTTGGGGGTTGGAGAAGAGAAATCTAACATCTTATTCTTTGTCTCTTGCTGCCCCCTGCTGGTCAAATCATTGCTGTGCTATTTATTTATTTTCTTTCTTTTTTATATGTTTTCCTTTAACTACTGAAATGGAACAGGTTCCTAAGGGTGGATGGAGTGAGGGAGAAGCAAGACGTCTTACAGAAAGAGAGGCCCCAAGTTTATTTTGAAAAATGAATACATGAAAATTGTGATATTTAAAACATATTTACGTCGAACTGATTGGTATTTTTAAACACACAGAGATATACTGTAATTGTGCTTCAGGAGCCCTGGTGGCACAATGATTAAACACTTGACTGCTAACCAAAAGCTACTGGTTCGAACCCACCAGCTGCTTTGTGGGAAAAAGATGTGGCTGGCAGTCTGCATCTGTAAAGATTTACAGCCTGGGAAACCCTATGGGATAGCTCTACTCTGTCCTATAGGCTCGCTATGATTCGGAATCAACTTGATGGCAATGGGTTTTTTTTTTTTTTTGGTTTAGTGTCCTTATGAGAAGAGGAATGGACACACAGACACTCAGGGAAGTAGGTCATGTGGTGATTGGAGTGATTCAGCTGTAAGGATTGCTAGCAACCACCAGAAGTGAGGAGAGGTGCATGGAACAGATTCTCCCTTAGAATCTCCAGAAAGAACTAACGTGCTGACACTGGTTTCTAACTTCTGACCTCCAGAACTGTGAGAGAATAAATTTCTGTTTTTTTAAGCCACCTAGTTTGTGGTATTTTATTACAGCATCTGTAGGCATGGCCCAGGGCTGAAGGCTATCAGAAAGTCCTGGAGCTGAGTCCTGAATGGAGAATTGGCTGCAGTAGCAGAAGGAAAACCTCTGGGACAAATTTTCCACTGCTGGCTGGGTGACATGAAAAAGCCAGTGCCTGTCTCTGCTTTTCCTGGGGTGGCGCAGCTGGCGAAGGATTTCTGTTCAGGGTTCCAGGTCACAGACCTCACCCTGAGAGTCAGGACCTCTTGGGAAAATGCAGTTCCTTACCAGCAGGAGGCAGCTGACTGTGCTGGGTGTACTAAGAACCACGCTGCTTCTAGACCTGTTCCACCAGGTTTTCCTTCCCCATCACATTCCCACTCAGTAGGCTCCCAAATACGATTTGGTCTGCAATACAGTTTGTTTCTTTTTCACTGTCAGTCCATTAAAATTGGCTTTATCAACTAAATTAGTTGCTCCAAGGTGCTGAGACAGTGAATCAGACTTAAGTTGATCTGAAGGAAATAATGAAATGGTATTGCATGTTGCTCTTCCTACCTGAGTTTGTGGATTAAGATTCAAACCCACATATCCACCTGCCCAGATGTCTCTTGTTCCACCCCATACTCGATATCTAATACTGAACCTTCCTCTAGACCTGTCCCCAATCAGCGAAAAACACCATAATCCCCCCTAGTTGAGAGCAATCAAGAGTAAGGACTTCGAAGATTGTATTGCAATTTGACCTTGCTGCAACATCTAAGTGCAAAATCAATGAGTTTGTCTCGTGGAATGGAGTATAAGCCAGCTTGGATGTTGTCATACTCAAGTAGTGGTTAGAATCACATATCTGTCTGGGACGAATTAGGGAAAACATCTAATCCTTCACTAGAGATAGTTTGAGAAGCATGGGGCAACCCCTACCTTTCACCTGAATGAAAGTTGCCACCAAAAAAACTACTGTCGAGAGCGGTTCAGTTCCCGCACTCTCCCCAGACGTCTCTTTTGTGTTCTCCTCGCGTCGCCGGAACCATGTCGTTCGCCGAGACCGAGCAGGCGGCATCTTCCCTGCCCAACGGCGATTGCAGTCGCTCCAGGGCGTGGCACGGAGGGAACCGGGTGACGGTGGTGCTCGGCGCGCAGTGGGGCGATGAAGGCAAAGGGAAGGTGGTGGATCTGCTGTCACAGGACGCCGACATCGTTTGCCGCTGCCAGGGAGGAAATGATGCTGGCCATACAGTTGTTGTGGATTCTGTAGAATATGATTTTCATCTTCTACCCAGTGGCATAATTAATCCAAATGTTACTGCATTCATTGGAAATGGTGTGGTAAGTCATTTGCCTGGATTGTTCGAGGAGGCAGAGAAAAATGTTCAAAAAGGAAAAGGTCTAGAAGGCTGGGAAAAAAGGCTTATCATACCTGACAGTGCTCATATTGTGTTTGATTTTCATCAAGCAGCTGATGGTATCCAGGAACAACAAAGACAAGAACAAGCAGGAAAAAATTTGGGTACCAGAAAAAAGGGCACTGGCCCAGTGTATTCTTCCAAAGCTGCTCGGAGTGGACTTAGGATGTGTGATCTTGTCTCTGACTTTGGTGGCTTCTCTGAGAGGTTCAAAGTTCTGGCTAATCAGTACAAATCTATATACCCCACTTTGGAAATAGACATTGAAGGTGAATTACAAAAACTCAAGGGTTATATGGAAAAAATTAAACCAATGCTGAGAGATGGCGTTTATTTCCTATATGAGGCCCTACATGGACCACCAAAGAAAATCTTGGTACAAGGAGCAAATGCAGCACTACTTGATATTGATTTTGGGATTTATCCTTTTGTAACCTCTTCAAATTGTACTGTTGGAGGTGTTTATACTGGTTTGGGTATGCCCCCTCAGAATGTGGGAGAAGTGTACGGAGTTGTGAAAGCTTATACAACTAGAGTTGGTATTGGTGCCTTTGCAAGACAATGATATTGGAGAATTATTACAAACAAGGGGTAGAGAGTTTGGTGTGACTACTGGAAGGAAAAGAAGATGTGGCTGGCTGGACCTCGTTTTGCTCAGATATGCTCACATGATTAATGGATTTACTGTGTTGGCACTTACCAAACTGGATATTTTGGACATGTTTACAGAAATCAAAGTTGGAGTTGCTTACAAGTTAGGTGGTGAAATCATACCTCATTTCCCAGCCAACCAAGAAGTCTTAAATAAAGTTGAAGTTCGGTATAAGACTCTCCCGGGGTGGAACATGGACATATCAAATGCAAGGACATTTGAAGAACTACCTGTTAATGCACAAAATTATGTTCGATTTATTGAAGATGAGCTTCAAATTCCAGTTAAATGGATTGGCGTAGGTGAATCCAGAGAGTCTATGATTCAACTCTTTTAAGGATTTCCAGTGACAGAAGAAACACTCCTTGAAAGGAGGAATAAGACTTCGTAAACATTTCGTTTATGATCTGCAAATTCAAGTATAAAGACATTGAAGTGAGTTGTAAGCCCTACAGTTGTTTCCAGTCTTTTAAGATGGATGGTTGTCATGGAAATAAACTTTGGCATATTCCAGTGTCAGCTTTTCTTAGCTGACATAATTGCCGAATCATTTGTTGCTCCTGCTGCTCATGGTGCCACATTTTCTTTTAATGTTTAGTAATAGTATAATCCATATTGTTTGGAATCTAAAATAGAATGACTTTCAACGTAGTTTTTCATTATTGGCATTGTGTGTTCTTAGGTTTTACCCCTATGAGATGGTAAGAACATTTTACCCCTGTGAGATGGTAAGAACAATTAATGCCGTTTTGCACAAATATTTGTACATTCTGATCATTCAATTTTGTCAGTAGAATCTTTGCTGTTAGAAAAAATGATTAAAGGACAGGGGTTCTGTAAACTTTTATAATGCTATAAATTCTGTTCAAATGGTGAACTGTTTATTTTCTGCTGAGACCATTGCAAAAGTGAGCTTTGAGGGGAGAGGGGGTAATTACAAGTCCTGTAATTTGTACAGAATACAGAACTTATTTCTCTCTGTAAATTATTTAATGCATTGAACATTTAATTAAATGTTCAAAGAGAAAGGTGTTCCCCAAAACAACAACCTTAATGTTAACAAAACAAGTCATTAAAAGATCTGTTGTGGTATTTGGTGGATATTTTTCTTTAATTTCAGGCATTAACTCTGATGAAATGTGTATCTTTCCTTTTTTATCTTACCATTATTCCTAAATCTAGTGGATTGATTTTTCAACATTGTGCCTGCCAGTATGCCTACAAAATCATCTGTAAGTGTCCAGATGAACCCAAATTGTTGGTTATAATTTTGATCATGGCTTTATTTCTCCTTTCTTGAAAAAAAAAAAAAAGCATTATCTTGACAATTAGGCTTAACATGTGTGTTGTAGATTATCCTTCAATGAACTATTTTCAAATGTTTAAATTAGGTGCCACCTGAATTTATTTTATTATACCATCAATAGCTGATTAAAAAGAACCAAATATTTCTAGTTAAAAAAAAAAAAAAAAAAAACTACTGTCGAGTCGACTCCAACTCATAGTTACCCTATAGGAAAATGTATAACTGCCCCATAGGGTTTCCAAGGAGCGGCTGATGCATTCAGACTGCCAACCTTTTGGTTAGCAGCCAAGCTCTTAACCACTGCACCACCAAGGCTCTGACTGCCCTGTGTAAATGCTGTCTTAACTTGATTTCCTCCCCCTATTAGAATGTGAGTTCAGGTGAGCAGGGTTCTTGCTGTCTTCTTTACCACAGAAGCCAATGCTAAAACAGTGATTGGCACACAGTAAGCTCTCAGTAATATTTGTTAGTGGTCTCTCTGCCCCTGGTCAGCAATACCCGAACTCAATACATTCTCCACGCTGGAGCCAGAACAATCTTTCTAAAACTCCAAATCTGATCAAGACCCTTCCCTACTTAAACTACTTCATTTGTCAGGAGAGTCAAAAGTCCTGAAGGAGTCCAATAAAGTGCTTATGTTCCAGTTCCACTGAGCTCTTTTTTACGTCTTGCTAAAGGACCATGATGTTAATAATAGCAACAATAAAATTAAAAAAAAACAGTTGCTGTCAAGTCAATTGCGACTCTATAGGACAGAGTAGAACTGCCCCACAGGGTTTCCAAGGAGCAGCTGGTGGATTCAAACGGCCAACCCTTTGGTTAGCAGCCAAACTCTTAACCACTACGCCACCAGGGTTTCCTATGTGTATGTGTGTGTGTGTGTGTGTGTGTGTGTGTGTGTGTGTGTGTGTATGCGTAGGACCCCAATGGTGGAGCCATTTGTAGTGCTGCTGCTGGTCGCTATGAGTTCTAAAGTGGGGATAATAGGAGTGTCTACTTCATAGGGTTGTTGTGAGGATTACATAAGAAAATAACTAGTAAATACAGAACATTCTTTCATCCAGAATAAAGGCTTAATAGATGTTAAAAGATATTATTAGACCACCTATGGTATATGCGAACTCAGAAGACAGTGAAGTGATTCATTAATTACTGTCATTTAATGCTGTTTTTTCACTCCCAAGTACAAGATCTGTGGACTTTAAGATGTTTGTGAAATTGTTATATTTTGTCAGGGTATGAAAAATTCAAGGTCATGAAGATGCTTGGTTTATTCATTCATTTGTTCATTTATTCCTTCATTGAGTTTTCAATTATTGATAGTTCTGGGTGCATAGTAAATATTAGCTAATTAAAATAACGAATAAAAATGACCAAATTAAGCATTTTGTGATTGTCTAACCTGTTGCTGTCTAGGCAATTCTGACTCATAGCGACCCTATACAACAGAATAGAACTTCCCCGTAGAGTTTCCAAGGCTGTAATCTTTACAGAAGCAGATCACCAGGTCTTTTCTCCTGCAGAGTGGCTGGTAGGTTCAAACCATCGACCTTTCACTTAGCAGCTGAGCACTTAACCGCTGGACCACCAGGCTCCTTGCCTACTATGTACCAGGTACTAAATTAGGGATAGGAAGGATGCAAAGTTGAATGAAACATGATCATAGCTTCAAGGAGTTTATAATCCAGTGACTTATTATGTTTCTGTACTGGAATTACAGACACACGCATACACCCTTTAAAAGAGCACTTTTCCAACAGCAAGATAGAGTCTTCTGGTCAAATTGTTTTATAATGTAAGCAAGGTACATATGGATTAAAGTTAAAGCCCAGACACATTCAAATTAATCACGTTTGTTTCATCCTGCTTGGTTTACACGGACAGCAAAGAAAATTAATTTCAAAATTGAGTTCAAATGTCGACCACCCAATTAGATTGAGCAAAAGTTTCTCTCCAGAGTTATAAATCATACAAATCCCATTGTGGAAGGACCTTGCCCTTATGAAAAAGTACTGAGGCCTAGCAGTCCCCACAGAAAGAAGGAAGAGCCACCAAGACCATGCAGAGATCATTCCATTTTGCACGTGTGCCTTTGGTATACCAGTTGAGAGCTCCCCTATGACAGAGGAAAATAATGCTTGATGGAGTAGAGAATGCTTTATTCTTGGCCAAACCACGTCCCTTTTTGACATGTTTACCTCAGTAGAACAAGAAAGAGATTCGCCAAGGTATGGGTTCCTCGTGGATAATAAAACAGACGCTGAGGATGAATGTTCTTGAGTGTAACTCACTTGAACATGCGAACTCCTTCAAGTACACAAAGAGGTATTTTAATGTTTTTCCCTCTCCTAATCTCACAGTGTCATTATTTGCTTTATATTAATTACTTCTTATAGCAGACTGAGAAATCATTTTTCTCTTGTTGGCAGACGCATCATTGAATTTTATTGCTAGCTCCGTGTGTTTGTTAATCAGCCACCTTGGGGGGAAGAACAGCAACATTGGACTAAATATTAGAAGTGTTTTCTTCTCGATTTTATTACTTACAGACGTAAAGCTTTAGGTCGATTGGAAGAAATATTTCTCCTCTTTATTAAACTTGGGACTCCTTCAAGAAAATGTCGCTGAACAGAATAAAATCAACTGCTGGCACTAGTGCCTCTACTGTTGTATGGAAAAATATCAAAATAGCAATGTCAGCTCTTCAAAAGGGCAAATCCTGTTCAATTTACTTTTCCATTGTTTGCTAAGTGGGTTCGGTTGTAACCAAAAGGGACGATGGAAAAACAGTATGTTATTTCCCTCTTTTTTCAATGCTTGGCCCTTGGGCTTCTTTTCGGATTTAAAAAGACCTTGAGAAAGGGTGCACTAAGTGACTGGTCGAAGTTGCAGCCACCTTTACATCTGCGGCGATATATTCCACATCTTGCCATGTTCTATTTGGCTGTGGACCCAACCCAACGCCTTATAAAGTATAACTTGCTCTGGAACATGTGTTTCTTCTTTACATTAAATATGTAAGGAGGTTCAATTAAAGGAAGACATTTTACTAAAACTGTCTTTGAAAATGCTACAATTCAGAGGGGTTGGGTTCGCCAGTTATATCAAATAAAACAGTTGTCTTTGCTATAACTTTTTCAAGACACCATTAAAAATCACTTTTTGACATATTTAATAAGTGTGAATCTCATTCCACAAACTCCAGCATAAAAGAAATGTAACTTCATATGTTTTATGTAACTCAATTTTATTTCTGACTCTGGGCTCTCATTCCGCTGAACTCAGGGTGGGGGATGTTCTTAAGCAGAGCCAAGATATGTGCGTGGATCTGGTTACTGATGAAGGACTGAAGATGAATTTTGAAATCATATGTCTACTTGCTTCATTTTGAATAGAATTTAAAAATGAATATCTGAGATTGCTGAAATTGTTTTACAATCCCTTCTACCCTTCTTATCAGCATACCTTTATGTTAGAGATTGAATTGTGTCCCTCCAAAATGTGTGTCAACTTGGCTAGGCCATGATTCCCAATATTGTATAATTGTCCACCATTTTGTAATCTGATGTGATTATCCTATCTGTTGTAAATCCTAACCTCTAAAATGTTAATGAGGCAGGATTAGAAGCAGTTATGTTACTGAGATAGGACTCAATCTATAGGACTAGGTTGTATCTTGAGAGTCAATCTTTTGAGGTGTAAAAGACAGCATCAAGCAGAGAGGAGAGGGACCTCATACCACCAAGAAAAGGTGCTGGGAGCAGAGTGCATCCTTTGGACCGGGGGTCCCTGCACTGAGAAGCTCCTAGATCAAGGGAAGATTGATGGCAAGGACCTTCCCCCAGAGCCAACAGTGAGAGAAAGCCTTTACCTGGAGATGGTGGACTGAATTCAGACTTCTAGCCTCCTGAACTGTGAGAGAATAAATTTCTCTTTGTTAAAGTCATCCACTTCTGGTATTTCTTTCTTTGAAACAGGTCAAATATTTTTGTTTATTTATTTGTATTGTGCTTTAGGTGAAAGTTTACAGAGCAAATTA